TGTGTGTGTGTGTGTGTGTGTGTGAGAGAGAGAGAGAGAGAGAGAGAGAGAGAGAGAGAGAGAGAGAGAGAGAGAGAGAGATGGCTGTGTCGTGTCTTTTTTCTTGTGGATGTTTCCCGGTTTTATCAGCTGTTTGGGGCTGTCCGTGAGTGACAAGTTAATTGTGGTGGCTGTGGTGTTGCTAGTTTAGGTGACAGGTGATACGATCTACAACCTTGTGCGGTTGGGGGAGTTGGAAACGGAAGAGGATGATCGTCCAGTGGACCCACCCAAAATAATCTCTGTTGAGGTTCGTAGTAGCTCTCTCCCTTCCTTTCTTCCCTTTTAACTGTGCTTTATTTTGTCCACGGACTTCCTGTACCCGATTCCATTCCACATTCTCCCGCGGCTGGAAAAGCTCTCTTTATTTATGCAATAATACTGACTAATGTCTAATAGTGGCAGGCACATATATTATCTGAATCTTTTTTATTACTGTAACTTTTACTACTGTTATTATGACTATTGTTATTATGTCTATAGGTACTATAATCACAATCCCATATCGTTATGGGTATATAACGTGTATAGATGGGTTGGGGTAGTGGGGGTTATGAGTTGAGACACCTTCGCTGTATGCAGTGGGGCATATCAGACGGGTCATGTCAGGTCTTCCTGACGGGACACCTGTACTGGGAAAAGACATGGACTTGTACAATCCACTGCAAACATGCATGTGCACGGATATGAAAGTGAGTAGTAGGGGAGTGAGTGTGCATCTATACAATGAGTATATATATATCATAATATGTATATATATCCCGGATGGTTTTGTCCTGTTGTTCGGTCTATTGGCGTGGCAGCATAGCGGTGCTTTCGTGTGGGACTAATCATCTGGGTTCTGGTTTGTTATGGATATGATAGATTTTTTTGGTTGTCACACTGTGGATCGGAGTTTTTTTTGGTTACCTTGTCTGCATCCCGGTTGGCTCTGTCCCGTTGTTCGGTCTATTTTGGGAGAATGGTAGCGGTGCTTCATGTGGGATTGGTCATCCGGGTTCTTCTTTTTTTACTGTCTTGGGGCGTCCTGGCTGGCTGTTTCCCGTTGTTCGGCCTACACGGGGGCCGTCACTACGTGGCCATGCTGTGCCTCTAGTGCCAGCGGCATGTCTGGAGTGTATTTTTTGGCCGTGACAGACCTTTCTTTGTTTCGTGGGTGTTTTGCCTGCTTGTGATGGGGTGTGAACCGACAGTCTGTAGAGTTTTCCATCTGGTGTGGGTGAGTGATAGTCTGCTTTGACTTTTGCCACAGGTACCTTGAGGGCAATGGTTGGTGCCCACCTCAGGTTATCAGTTGTCGGGCAGTCGTTGATGCTTAACCACAGCCGGGGTTAAGGTGGATTATCACTTACAGTGTAATCAGTTAGGGGATTCAGCAGACTGTTGAGGGTGCAGCCTCCTGATGAGTCGGTGAAACTCCGACGAAACAGTTTGCCACAGCCCCTCGTTTGTTGTCCTCTTCTCCCTCTCTGCCTACGGTTTACCAGG